AGCCAAGCAACGTGAACTTGATCTGCCAATGGGGGAGCCACAAATATGTTAATAGATGCTGAGGCCAAATGCATTGATGAAATTGCTAACGTTGTTGAAATACATAGCTACTGTAGTTGTCTAGTCAATATCCAACCTCCCCTTCTTTCCAGTAGAATCCTGATTTTGTTAAGTGTGGCAATGTGCCCAGTGAAAATACTTAGCTCTCCACACTTCATCAGGGACTAGAGAGGCCAGGTGACCCAGTTCTGTCAATAAGCAGATCAGCGATGCTACTGGGAAAGCTGTTTGAGGCTCAGCTGGCATATATTTTTTTCCATTTTTCTTTTTCACTTTTTCTTTTTTTTGAGACAGAGTCTCACCTTATTGCCCTCAGTAGAGTGGTATGGCATCATAGCTCACAGCAACCTCAAACTCCTGTGCTCAAGTGATCCTCTTGTCTTGGATTACAGGTGCCCACCACAATGCCCAGCTAATTTTAGAGACAGGGTCTAGCTTTTGCTCAGGCTGGTCTCTAACTTGTGAGCTTAAGCAATCCACCTGTCTTGGCCTCCCAGAGTGCTAGGATTATAGGTGTGAGCCACTTTGCCTGGCCTCCATTTTTCTTGCCTAGAATAGGAACACGAGTCCTTGAGGTGAAGCAACTATCTTGTGACCCATGAGGAAGAAAACCAGACAAATCCTGACAACTTCTTTGAGCAGCTGCATTTGCATTGGACGATCTACAGTGTGAACTCAGTCATGTGACAAAAATATGTCTTGATTTACTTAAGCTACTGAGTTGGTTTTCTGTTCATGCAACTAAATGCAGTCTTATTTGATGTAATATTATCTCTACTTCTTGGAGATTCACAGTGAACATTGCATATTAAAGATTCTTGGAAGTCCTATTTAACTTTGTTTAACCTAATATTAAAATTATTTGACTACCAAATTCTTTGTCCTCACAACACTTAGTATATCTCATAGGATATGAGTGTTCTGCAGAAGTTTGGAACATGATATTCTTTTTGTGTTGATTCAGTAGATAACTAGCTGTGATATTCTACCATGATATAGATACAGGAGGAGTAACCTGTTAGCAAAGCAAGATGATGAGTTTAGTTTTGAACTTGCTGAATTTGAGGCATCTGAGTAGAACTGTCCAGAGACAGTTTGGTTGTACAGCTCTGAAGCTCACACAGGAGGTGTTGGAGTGAGCAGGTAAGTAGTGGCTAAACCCATGGTTTCTATGGGTTAAACGGTGATTGTTAAGGTAGAAAACATTCTACCAAGTGTTTTTACCAATGAGGAAATTCGTGGCCTGGTTTTAGACTCCCTCCTCTTCATTGCTTTGATATACACCTCTCTCAAAAGAAGAGATGTAAAGAATACTCTGATTACAATCAGACAGTTCAAATCCTGACTTTTCCATTTACTCAGCTTCGAGATTTTGGCTCAGTTATTCAACTTTTCTGAGCTTCAGTCTTCTCCTCGTGGAGGTGACAACCTAACTTTAGAAAGTTGTCATACGGACTGTATTCAACCTATGACACCTGGCGAACTAGATCTGCTCAGAGAAGATTTCATTTTTCGTGGAGGGTCATTCATAGCTGTAAAGGAGCATTTAAAATTAAGCCAGGGCAAAGATTTAGCTTCTGCCTATTAGATTATGTATACATGATTTGAAGATGGAATGTGAAGACAGGTCAAGAGAGACTGTATGTACATGGCGGATTTATATCTTACTATTTATGTATTTGACATAAATAAGGACTTCCTGTGTGCCTTACACTGTTCTAGCATGTCATAAGTATTAACTCATTTAATAGTCAAAATAACTTTATGGATTAGGCACTATTATTATTCTCATATGGCAAATGATGCATAGAGAAGTCTAGTATCTTGCCCACCGTCACGCAGGTCGTAAGCTGTGGGGCCAGGGTTCAAACCTGGGGAGACACACCCCATAGTTCATGCTCTTATCCACGACGTTACTGTATAAAAGATAAAAATAAAAGGGATCGACCCATACTGTTCAATGTTCTTTCACCCTCCCCAGGCTTTTGGTAATTGTTTCTTTTATTTCTTTCCCTATATATATTTTAAAAAGTGGTAATTTGTCTCAGAGCATCTTTTCTTTTTTTTTGGCCAGGGCTGGGTTTGATCCCGCCACTTCTGGCATATGGGGCCGGTGCCCTACCCTTTTGAGCCACAGGCACTGCCACTCTCAGAGCATATTTTACACAGAAATAGTAGTATGTTCAGAATGTTTTAGCCAAGAGCCATTCAGAGGGGAAAAAATGATTAAAATGTATGTCAATATAGCGCTGTCAATAGCAGCTATCTCTGTAATAACAACAGAACTGTCCTTGTTTTTTTTTTAATGTTCTAGGTCCCATATAATTAATTTAAACATAAGAGAGCATGTGCGTAATTCTTTTTTTTTTTCTTTCAAGAAAAGTACTGGTTACCTTCCTGGAAGAGCACATGTGTTTTTCAAAGGCTCTCACTCCCTTCCTAGGAATGAGCAGCTGTAGCCAGGAAGCACATGAAATCAGAAACAGTGCCAGTGGCAGGAGGCTTAGGTTAAAGCTTAAGGAAATTCCCAAGATGATGCTTCAAAAGGGCATTTGAAGGGCATAGGCCAGGTAGAAAACAAGACAAATTCTAAACGAAATCTAGGATCATTTCAATGGAAACAACTATTTTATCTTCTCCTAATAGCTTTCCAGTTCAAAGAAAGATAAAATCGTACTCATGAAAAACTGATGGGTAAGCAATTATTTTTTTGATCCGAAAACTCAGGTGCCATCATCCCTGTCTATTTATTGCATGATCTAAGTTTGGCCCTTACCTCTTTCATGACATTTGTTCTTTGTGTAAATGGGCACAGCTATTCCTATTCCCACCCACACGTTGATGCTGTAAGGCCAACTGAGATGATGTTTATAGTTTCATGGAGGAAGGACACTAGATATAATCAAAATATCACTATTTTCAGAGTCCTTCCTTTCTTTGGAAATGTATACCACATAGTAATTCTACTTGTGTACAGTGTTGTTGAAGAGTCAGATTCTTCATAGAAGTAATCACGTTTTCATAAAATATATACTTAGTCCATTAAGGACTCTAAGTTTCTTTTAAAAATTTTCACCATATTCAAATTTAGCAATTGGAAGATGTTGATTTATTCCTTAAATTAACGTTTATTGGACGCTTACTATATGCAATGCTTTTTAACAGAAATCTTTCCTTCTGATTAAACAAAATATATTTTACCTTTTATCAATGACTCTATAAGACACCATGTGTGAAAATGAGATTTTGGTTGGCTTCAAATAGACTATGAGCCCACATCACAAATCTGCCAATTCATTTGTAGGCTATAGAAAAATAAGCACTAGACCTAAGGGAACTATTACTTCTGCTCCCTTCTACATTGATCAGACACACCTAGAACTGAGGTTAAGCTCTGCAGTGTAGGACAAACTGAGGTACAGCTGCAAGGGGTGAGAAAGATGGTGAAGAGTTTGGGAATCATATCATATGGGCAATTAAACACTCAGAGAAGACAGTTAAGAGGAGCAATAAAACTTCTCAAACTCTGACTTCAACTCTTCAAATACCTAGAAGAAGAGAAACTGGGCTTATTCTGTATAGTTGCAGGTGACTAAGCTAAAAACAGAAGTTTAAGAAGAGAGTTGTCTCGGTTAAATAAAACAGCGTCAAAAATGAGCAGGGCTGCTTCTAAGGCTTTTATTTCCTGAGATTTTTAGAACAGAAGTTGAATGACAGACAACTGGACAGAGATTTTGCGGAGAGGGGTCCTGATAGGGTGAGGCTCAGGGTCCCTTCTGATTCTGAATATCCTATGATCCATTAGGAACCTCCTGTACTGTATTATGTTATAATCAAGTGATGCTTTTATAGCCTGTGGTTGCTTTGCCTCTTCATTAAAAGGCCTTAGACTGCTACAGGCTTTGGGGTTTTTTTCATTTGTTTGTTTGTTTAGTCCCTGGATACTTTATTTATAGTTTCCTCACCTTCCTTACTACCTGAGGCTGCCTCCAAGTCACTCTTGTGTTCAACAGAGTCTGTTTCATTCTAATTTGTTACTTCTAATATGCTATGTTCTAGAAAACATCATAACCACACATATCCAAATTGTATGAATAATTTAAGTGAGTACCTCAAGGGCTCTCCTGTGCATAGACTTTTTGCCATCTATTTTAATTATTAAGGGCTCTCTTAGCTTTCTTCCAACTTCCTAGGAAAATTCTAGATTTAATTTGTCACTTATATAGCTTCAGGAAACCTATAATTTAAATTCTACATAAGTTTGCTAAGCTTCCTACTAATTCATAAAAATTACCCCCAAAGGGGGGTGCCTATGGCTCAAAGGGGTAGGGCACCAGCCCCTTATGCTGGAGGTGGCAGGTTCAAACCCAGCCAAAAACTACAAAAAAAAAAAATTACCAAAAAATTCTGAGTCCATTACTGAAATTCTCAAAAACACAAAATCGTAGGCACTGATATATTTACCATTGAGCCTTTCCTTATATATGCAAACTTTTCCTGGATAGCATCTCCAAAATGCAAATGTGATTTGTAATTAACTTGGACTACATAAGCAAATGAAGTTGATTAGAACGCTACTTTTTCTCTCCAGAACTGCTTCTTACTTGCTTCCTATCTGCACAAAGTATCTGTGTAGAATGTAAAGATACCTTTATGGGAAATGATTCAGGGCTCATCAGTTTTCTCCTTAGTCTCCATATAACAATAGTTTCAACGTAACTCAGTTAAAACTATTTAGTGAACATTGACTGTAGTTGTTCCCAATTAAGAATAATAAAGTATATAAGAAAAACATGACAATATTTTGTATCACATAAACTGAGTATGAAAGCACTTGCTGTCTTGTTAAAGGAAATAAGAACCAATTATAGAGCAACCAAGGAAGTATATTATCGTGCAGGATTGGTGCAGATAGTAAATGCTTGAGAAATGTGTAATGAGAAATGGAATAGCATTTTATATACTAAAACTGGAATGATACAGACAAGATTATTAGCATGGCTCTTGCACAAGGATGGCAGACAACTTTGTGAAATCTTCCATTTTTAATAACATACTGTGTTCTCCAAAAATGCTAAGAGAGTGGGTATAAAGTGTTCTCACCAGAAGAATGATCAATATATGCTAATTGGCTAGATTCAGGCATTCCACCATATGTGCATACTTTAAAACATGATACTAGCATTGTACAGGATAAATGTAAATTTAGCTCTCAATTTAAAAAATGGAGGGGTTGTACCTAAATAGACTAGATTCAAAAGTTAGTAATAAAAGTACATTCTTTTCTTTCCTTCTTTCTTTTTTTTTTTTTTAATTTACCTGAGCCATTAGGTTAAGATTTGTGCTTACAGCCTTTGGTTGTTATAATTTCCTATCATTTCTTTGGTAGGAACTGTTGGAGAGGTGTTTCAGTGATTCCATTAGGAGCATATTTCTAAGAAAGCCCCAACATTGCCAATATTTGAAAACTCAGAGAATTTGTTTTCTAAAGTAGATGACGCTATACGAATTGCTGTCCCAAACCTTTTGCCACTTCTAGTGGCCAGAAGAATAATTTTAATGTCTCCCAATTGGATGATGCTGACCTTAACCCAATTACCCCTAGGAGATATAAATTTAGATGTCGCTGCCTGGATCTTTGTAAATAATATCTACATGTACCCCAAAGCTCTGAATTGTCCTCATCTGTAGCAGACTCAACAACTGAATGTTATCCGTAGTTAATTTTCTGGAAAATATTCAAAGGCACAAAATGAGCTCTGCAATACAAATTTGCTTTCGACTTAACTTTTGCCAATTTCCCTGAATGTGTATGTAGAATTACATTTTCACAGAGCTTGCAAAAGTCCCAGACTCAACTGCTATTTAATCTCCTTCCAGAAGCACCAGCCCAGAGCAATCCTATCTACAATTAGCTGCGCGCGGTTGCTACTAAATTGTTCCGCATTAAGTTATTTCATAACATTATTGTTTCACAGCACATTTTCTGTAGAGGGTGCCTGGAAGGACTAAAGAGTTCTTTGTCATGCCTCATCCTCCAGACAAGGATGTTGTAAACTGCCCACCAGTTACTCTTGCGACCCTCTTTTAGCAACCTGAGTCTGAGTAAGGGGGCTTTTACACCCAAATGGGCACACGCTCGGATCACGTAGGCAGTGATTGTTTAGCCGAGATGTCTCCCGATAAAGGCAGCGGAGAAGTGGCGGACGCTGCTCCTCCGCGCGTTCTCTGTGCCCGAGACCCGGGGCTGGGTTGCGGGGTTCGGTCCCCGGGTCCTGGGACTTTCGCAGAGGGGGTGACAGGAGGCAGAGGGAGGAGGGCTTGTTTGGCTGGGGGGTGTGGAAAGAAGGAGCTAGCCTGTTTCGCGGTTTTTTAAGCCCCTTGGCATGCCCTGACCTGATCGAGAGGGAGTCAGCCGCTCTCAGGAATGTTCCGGGAGAAGGTGGGAGACTGTTTCCCCAGGAGGCCTGTGGGTGCTGGAGGGCGCCAGGGGGTCACAGGGAGATGCAGGGCGCGCGTCGGGCGGGGCGCGCGGGCGGCGGGGGCCAGGGTGAGGCGGGCGGAACGAGCGGGCGGCCGTGGGGCGTGGGGACCCCTCCCCGGCGTCTGCGGGGACCCCTCCCCGGCGTCTGCGGCGACCCGGCCGCGCGGGCTGCACCGCCCGGGCTGTCAAGCGCGGGGGGCGGGCGGGAGGAAGGGGTGGAGGTGCGAGGGGAGGAGGGCTGGCACCGGAGCGCCGCGGTGTCGGTGCAATAAAAATGCATCCCATGGAACTGCCCATGGAGAAGGACGGGACCGAGACGCGGCAGCCGGAGGAGGACGCCCAGGAGGAGGCGGCAGCGGCGGCGGCGGCGGCCGGGAAGTGAAAGGTCTCGCAAAGTTCAGCGGTCGCTGCGGGCGCCGAGCCCCGGGCTAGCGGCGGACGAGCCCGCAGGGCCACTCGGCGGGGCAGCGCGGCCAGGCCGGCTATGGTCCCGGGGCTCCCGCCGCCCCCGAGCTGCCCGGGCCCCGCCAGGCCGGTGCGCCAGGGTCACCCCACCGCCCGGCGCGGCCCCGGCCCGCGGCTCCCCGCCGCCGGCGCCCACTGACCGAGCCTGGCGCCCCAGGAGGACGAGGAAGTAGAGAACCCCGGTTCCTCCGGAGGACTGTTGGCGCTTCAGCCGGTAGCCGAGAGGTCTCGGCTCCCTCCCGCACCCGCTCGGCCCGGCTGCTCCCGGCTGCCCCCGGCCATGGGGAGCTGCGCGCGGCTGCTGCTGCTCTGGGGCTGCTCCGCGGTGGCCGCAGGTGGGTGGTGACGCGGCCGGGCCCCCACCCTCTTCCCTCGCTCCTTCTCTGCCCCAGCTCCCGACTCCGGGGTGCGGGGAAGTCCGGGTTGGCAGCGCACAGCTCGGCTCCCGAGGGTGAAATGAGTGGCCATGTTCCGCCTCCTTCCCTGGGGCCCCGCAGTTTCAAATACTATTGATTTTTTTTTTTTCCTTGCAACTGAGATACTCATGCCTTTGGATAATCCGGTATTCTGGGTGTGCCCTGCGGGAGATAACCACGACCAGGGCCTTTTTCTCGGTTTGGCTTGTAAAAAACTGCCTTTCCACTTTGTAAGGGAACAAAGGACCCAGCTCGCCATCCCCCGGCACTTCATGGCCTGAGGAATGATGAGGAGGGGTGGCCCAGCGACCCTGGGCGCGCGTGGGCTAAGCTGGTCTCTCCTTGAGAGCGATCACCAGCGTCCCCGACCTCATGCTGGGTCCTAGGGAACCAGGTAGGGACACCTGGTGCGGGGGTGAGCGCCCTCTCCCCGGGGCAGTGGCTGGAACGCAGTCAGACTCTAGGCTGGGACACTAGGTAGGGATCGCCCTGGGTTTGCACGGACCTGGCTGGCCGCCTCTGGGGAATTGGTACCCTGGGCGAGGCTTGGCGGGAGGTCGGAGGCGGGTCCGCTCCCTGTCTCTGTAACTGGACAACAGGCAGAGGCTCCGTCAGGTGCCCTCTACCCTCCCACTCCCATCCTGGCTTGCTTGGGCTGCCCTAGGCCAGCCGTTCCCGGCTCATCCTTTCTATATTCGGAACCCCTTCTGCTTGTCTCCCAGCCACCCCCTTGCGGGTCACCCGGTTTTCCAGTTAGGCATAAGTGCACCTGTGAGAGACTCTGCAGCCCTCCAGTCTCTCATGCAAACTTCGCCTGCTCCAGAAAGGGGCGTGTGGGCTAAAGGGACCGACTGGTGGACAGAGAGCATGGTCACCCGCGTCTCTGCCCTTTAGCTTTTACCATTCCCTTTCCCCGCCCCCCATCCGCGGGCACCCGGGGAAATCCAAGTTTCAGAGTCTGTCCCCGTCAGCGTCAACAGCAGCATCCGTGGTAAACTTGGATAGCCACTTGGGATCTCAGAGGATTTTTACTCACGGATTATTTAGCTCAAATCTTTACTGAACTTACTAGTTTAGGGGCATTTAACATTATCCAGTACTTTTCCCAAGAAGCCATTAAAAGACTAAGATTTTACTTTAATTCTTTCTGCTTATGCACCTTTAAAAAGTGACCTTTAGTAAACTTTTCCCTCTTCAAACCATGTTATGGCAAAAACATGCAAGCGATGGAGAGGTTGTAAATAAATATCACAGGCAAATGTTTCAGGTTAGCAATACTTGTACAGGCAGTATATGATTTTCCCCGAAATGCTTTACAGGTGAGTCATAGCACACTGCGTGTTTGTGTGTTTCTAGCCACAAGAAATTGTTGCCCCAGCTAATCAGAAAAGGGACGAACAGAGTCCAGGCAGAATCCACACTTTGACATTTAAAAAAATAATGCCCCAGGAAGCCGTTTGTCTTTGTTACAAGGCTATGTGGGGTCGGTGATTGTCAGTTGGTGAAAAGTCTCTTGTTTCAGCCTAAGCTGTCATTTGGCTCCCTCCAACACCACTGTGATGATAACAGTTCAGAGGTACAGCTTCTTAGGAAACATTCAATTAGCCAGAATTTGGGGTTTGATTTCCTTTCCCCTCTTTTCCCCCTCTGTTTTAACCTTTAATAAAAATAGATAATTTTGTTCAAGGTAGTCATAATTAAAATGACAGACCCAAATTAAAGGATTATCATATGTAGTCAGAATGTTAATAAGTGGATAATGCTTATCATTTTCAGTAATTTTGAAACATTAGAGTCTGCTGGACCTTTGTTTGGGAGGAAGAGTGTGTCTCTTTAAGAAGGTATCTGAGTTCACAGATAATGTTTAAAGGTGCTGCTAGTGGCTGCCAGACTGTAAACATTCTCCTGGTAAGCAAACAAGCAACTACTATATAACCTGTCACAGGTAGAAACCTTCAGGAGGCAGAGAGCTTGTAACGGAAAAGAAGCTTTCTTGCCATTTGGTACTTTTGAGAGTTTTTTTTTTTTTCCTTAGGTTTAGTTACTTAATATTAAAAACAGATATTGCACATTTGAGCTCCAGGGGTCTCTTGCCTGGTCTCCCCCTAAATGAGGTCCCATTGTATATTTAATATCTCATATTGCTTTTCCTAGGGAATGTATAGTATCATTGGTTTAAAAATATAAAGAATATAAAGAATTCTACATTTCCTCCTAAAGGCATTCTCATGATAAACATATTAGATAATGCTAAAGACTCAAATTATATCTAAAAGGCTAAATTAAGTGATCTTATAAAGACTCAAATTATATCTAAAGGGCTAAATTAAGTGATCTTATAAACAGGTCTTTTTAAATTAAGTTATGACTTCAAAAATATATATTTCAAATATAGAAAATGTTTAAAAGGCAAAAGTACTTAAAATTTTTAGGGGCTGGGTGCAGTGGCTCATGCCTGTAATCCTACCACTCTGGGAGGCCAAGTCAGGTGGATTGCCTGAGCCCAGGAGTTCAAGACCAGCCTAAGCAAGAGCGAGACCCCATCTCTAAAACTAGCTGCATGTCCTGATGGGTGCCTGTAGTTGCAGCTGCTTGGGAGGCTGAGGCAAGAGGATCTCTTAAACCTAAGAGTTTGAGGTTGCTGTGAGCTGTGATGCCACAGAGCTCTAACCAGGGCAACAAAG